GTTAATTACAGACAGTGGCTGGGAGAGGCAGTCACCTCTCACTGTGAGCCAGTCACACTCTGGCTCTGGGGAAATGTTCCTCATGGTCTCCTTAGAGGCACAGCCCAACTCTGCAGTGCTCTTGGAGAAACTCCATGGTGTTCTGAGCTCCAGGGGCCAGATCTAAAGCCCTGAATCACCTCAGGTCAGCATCTCTCCAGAGCTGCTCAATGGAACCCCTGAAGGACTCAAAGCCTAACAATGGTGGTGGGTGCCTTTCCCACCACACTTGAGAGGTGACACTCCCAGAAGTGGATGGGCAGAATAAAGCAATAAGGTTGTCAAAGAGGCCTGGAAAACAATGAACTTTGCAGGCATCTCAGAACAAGCAAAGGTCAGATTTCTCACCTTCCTCTCTGAAAGAAGCTAAATTTCATTGCATTGAAATGAAAGGTTTGTGTTTCATTCATAGTCAAAGGAATCATCATGAAAACTCTTATATTCTCTTATCATTTTAAGTGAATATAGGTTTTAAGAAGCCTGTGTAGTTTGCAACACTGTCCCCATTTTCTAGGTGGGGAGGACAATGTGAGAAACCACAAGAAAAAAAATGAGAAAAACCATATACTAACCCTTTTGAAAGCTTTTATCGGAATTCCTCTTTTTCCACTTGAGTATTCTTCCTATTTGTACCCTCCTCTATTACAGAGTCCACAGTAGGTATTGCAAAAAATTAATGGGCTTTATTACTTTGTTCCACCCATATTTTTTATATCATCATCTCTATTACACAAAGTAAACACTTCTCACTTCATGTCACCTGGAAAGTTTGAACTTGTCAGGGATCAAAAATTAGAGACTTCTCGATTGGTGAGCCTGGCACAGTAATGGACAAGTTATTTAGCTATATTACAAACTGGTTATTTCCATTAATTCCTCCTTTTCCTTTTTATACCCCATTAGTTGAGTTCAGCCTTGAACTAGAGCTGTCCATCTTCCTATTTAGGTCTCATTCATCTCTGTGGATGTATTTAATTAAACAGCAACCAAAATCTTCATGGATTGCCTGGAACCTTACACTGGATTTTATCTGTCAGGAAAAAAAGAGTATTTAGAAAGGAAAACACTCTCCACAAGCCAAGTCAGATTGCCCATTCTAAAGAGACACAAGGTACTCATGTGGGATTTCATCTCCTTTTCATTTGCTGATTGAAACACTATCTTTTACTGCACAGATTAAAGGGTGCTGATGAACAAGCAAACACTAAAGGAAATTGAACCTGTTACTTCCTCAGTAACTTTGGCAACTGAATTTTACATCTTAAAATAGACTGGATCAGACCAGAGCCTTCAAACCCACATTAATCATGTTTAAACTCTATTACTGAAAATCCATATATACCCTTATGTTATGAACATTTGTGTGAATTATTATTGAAATCAGAAAGAATAAGAATGGTCATGGGTGGAATAACAGTATAACAAGAACGTTTTAGAAAGAAAATATTTACACATCGAAAAAGCAGAACAAATTTTGAAAGTACAACAAGTTTCTCAAACTTTGCTGAAGAAATAAATAACCTTTACTGTTCAAGTACCCCTGAGGATTTTGTAGTTCTTGTGATTGATTTAATATCAAAAGACCATTTGGGTCTGTGACAAACTGTCAGGGGGCCCTGGGAGGAGGACAAGGAGCATAGGGAGCTCCTTGGGTTCAAGTGAGTTACGGACCAAAGGGTGGAGTCATCTCTTGAGGTAGAGCTGTTGAAAAATTTGTTGCCAGAGACATTTCTGGACATGTACTCCAGAATTCCAGATGTTGGGATGATGAATCACACTCCCTTTATACTGTAGTTTTCTTTGTCCTGGTCTGGTGCTCGTGCCGAATTGTTAGAAGAAATTGCACACTGTGCCATTATATGGTTTCTGAACTGAGGAGATGCTTTTCTTACCCATTACCCTACTGATCCTACTTTTTTCTTTCCATTCCCAGCTCTGGAGTTTGAATGCCTCAGCTGACTTAGGAAGGGATTTAGTCATCTAATATGGGTTTCTAACATGGTATGTGGCTCTGGAAGTTATTTCCCACAACTTTCAGCTGTTATTCAGAGGGTTTTGCTATCTGCCAAACTTATCTGCATGGTTGGAGCATCCCAGGTGGTAAAAGGTACTTAGGGTGATACAACTGAACTTCTCAACCTTTATCACAAACTGAAGTTCATCCCTTACCTTGCAATATTTGACGTCTACCTATGCAGGTAACATATCTGTGTCCAGGTTTCGTTTTTGTTACACTGTTCAGACACCCCCTTAGCTTTGGTGCTCTATCCTGATTTGGGTAGTCCTTGCCTTGTCTGTAGTCTAATCTAGCTCAGGAACTCTACAGAGAGTCTACTTAAAGTTTCAAAGCCCGCTTGCTATCTTCAGAAAGAGTCTGAGACTTTGCTTTGGCCTGTGATTACTAGTAAATCATGTTTCAGACTCGATATGCCCTTAAAAAAGTTTACAACCCTTATTTACAAGCTGAACAAGACCCACAAGACTCTATATGGTCCTTTGGTCTACACCCAGAAGTTAACCCTGCCTTCCAAGAACAGTTCTCTGGGCATGGATGACCATGACTTCACACTGATGACATGTGAGAGAAGTTGTCTTCCCTAATAGAAATGCTGTGATTGTAAAACCTGTATGTCTGCAAGCTGGAGTCCTTGAATAAGGCATGGGGAGTATGAGGGAGCAGTGAAGAGGGCCCAGTCCAAGATACAATGCAGTAATGCACTATGGTGAGTATTAAGCTCTTTCAAATCGGTAAGTACCAATGGGATTTACTTCACTATAGGATTTCTGTAACATGTAGAAAGGCTGGAAGGCTTGCTCCCAACTGTGTGAAAATCACTTCTACCAGAGTCATTTTTTCTGGAAGGTACGGAGAAGCAGGAATCAGTTCTCCTCTGTTTGACTCCTTCCCTTCCTCTGTCCATTTGAATGGAAACTATCTTAAAGTCTCAAAGTTTCTGAAAACTTGCTAGTTGGACTTCTTAAAGAAAATGAGCCTACATCAGATAACTTTTGTTGCCAGCTGAGGGAGAGAAGCACATCTGGAATCTTATTCATACCACAATAGGTCTGGGTGGATGGTACAAGTTTGAACAAAAGTAGCTTAAGAATACAGAACTTGTACTGTACGTCAGTCTTTGGGGTGTAGTCACTCAAGATCTGGAGCATGTGTCCCTCCTGGAGTTCAGCTGGCTCAATCAAGCAGTTTAGATGGCTGAGTCCAAGGCCAGCTCCTTTGCCAATATGAGTTGTTGAGAAGAAAGCAAGAAACAAGGACCTGTCCCCGCTGTTACCCAACTTACTGGGTGACCACTGACTGTACCTGATCCCGGCCTCTCTTTCTGGAACCAGTTCTGACCCTGAATTACCCTCCAGCATCCTGGCTCTGTGTTCTTGAAGTCACTGCTCCTGCCCACCCAACTGGTGCATTTGGCTCCCAACTCCCCTTCCCTGGAGCAGCAGCTGGTCTTTGCTGCTCCCTGAAAGGGCCTCCACACTCAAATCTTCTGGGCCTGTCCAGCCTTAAGAAACCAGTGGAAACATAGTGCCCCAAATAGCTCCATGGATTTGTACCTAGAACCACAGTCTCTGCACACCTCAGTTCCTCTCCTTTCTGAGCTTGCACTTTAAAAGAGGCCCAGACTCAAGGGGGTTGACATCCTCCAGAGATGCTCAGAGGAGAGATACTGGAGGTTCAGTACCTGAAAACCACTCACTGGCACAAAGTCATGAGTCTGTGAGAATCTTCAACTGTGCATCCAGCTGGACAGAAGTTTTGGGAAGGTGAAGCTGGGTTAAGAGGTCAGCAGCTCAGTGTTTGTGGCCCTTTTTGACCAAGTGTGCCACTTACTCATCCCCTGTGCTGAGGAAAGGATGATCCAAGAGGCAAGAAGATGTTCCCTGGCTGCTCAGATGCAGCATGTAACATCTACACATGGGACTCCTTTGCCTACCCATAAGCATCAGAACTATTGGAGACAACACAGAGTGTTCCACCAATTCCTGAAGGTCAAGTCATGGGTCTCATCTACCAGCAGCACACGAATGTTGGTTCACTCTCTTCCTCGGAGAACTTTCTGTCCATGGTTGTACTGACATCAGACACACTGTGATAGAACTTGAACAAAGGCAGAACCTGGACAAAGGCATCTTGAACTGCCTGTGCTGGTCACAGCTGTCACACTGTCAGCACAGCCCTTGGAGTGGTCTGATCTGAGAATCACACCAGTCTGAGAGGCAGATTGAGGGAAGCTGCCCAGGTCTGCTGAAGAAGCAAGAGCTCAGTGCTCTCCACACTCCCAGTGAGTGAAGGGCAGCCAGGATGTGCTCTGGGAGCAACATATCTGAAGTCAAATGCAACTTGGCCCCTTGAGTGTCTAGACACCAGCAGTGAGGTGGGTTGTCTCAGCCAGGGGCTGGTGCCAGGGAGGGACAAGTGTGGGCTGGCTGGGAGGAAGGAGGAGATGCACCATCCCAACTCAGCAGGTGAGAAGAAGCACCCAGGTCAAATGTAGTGTATTTGGTATATATTGAGCTTGTCTGCCAACTCTTCCCACTCCTCAGCTGGCCAGCAGGCCAGTTTTGCTTCTTTGCAATCCACTGCCTGATTAACAACCTGGCACCAATCAGCGAATGGACCTCCCAGTCTGTAGCCAGCGCTGCAGTTCTGGCAGGGGACAGGTTCCTGGGGGTCGAGTGCCACCTCCCTGGGTGACACAGAAGAGACTAGTCTGATTGCAGGGGCCCTTGGCAGCCGCTGCCCATTGTGTCAGATGTGAGGACAGAGTGGAAAGGCCTGGCGGGGAGATTTGGAAGACTCGGTCCTGCCGAGGGCTCTGCGGTCCAGTCCGTGGCCGTGCCCGGATCAATCTGAGGCGGGAGGACACTCAGCCCGTGCGATGCCGCGACCCGCAGCACAGCGGGGAGGAGGATCCAGGGACCCTGTCAGATCCCCTCCACCGGGCATGGCCCCTCACCCTTCCCCATCCCACAACCTCCCAGGCTCCCGGATATCCAGGATCCCCACAGCCCGCACGGAACTCAGCGCCAGCTGCTCGGAGGAGGTTTGCAGCGCTCTGTCTCCGCCCCCGGCTCTGCCTCCCCGCCGGCCCATCCGTCCGTCCGGCTGCCCCCGCCTCTCTCCATCACAGTCACCCCTCAGCTGACGTAGCACTGCATCTCCCTGTCTGCCCGGGCACCTCTCACTCTGTCTTTCCATCTCTCCCTTCCTCTTCCATCTCTCCCTCCGTCAGTCGCTCCCTGCTGGCTCTGGCTTTGGTTCTGGTGAGTGTCTGCTTGATTGTGCTTCACTTCATTATTCTGATCCTGTTCCCTGTGGATTGTCCCTGTTTACTGGGGAGCTGGTGCCTCATCAGTCCATCCCCCTGACTATCCCTTACCCCTGTTCCCCTCAGGACTTATACCATATTTGCTCTGGCTGTCCACCCTGTCAGCATGATGGCAGGGTAGGGATGTTTCTGGTACTTCGACCCTGACATCCGAGAACAGAAACAGGGGAAATTGAGGCAAATGTGTCTGAACCAGAGACATTTGGAAGGCTTTGGGATGGAGGGCATTCCCTTTCACCTTCTGGCATTGGCCTGAAGACAGCCAGACATCACACCTTCCCTCCACTGCCTTTCAGGGAATTGCTCTGCAATCATGGAATACCTGAACCTGGCCTCATTTCTCTCTCCATCATATTCCCATTATTATCTGGACTTTCAACCTGCTCTCACAAACTACTCCATGAACATATCCTCAAAATAGCTATTCCTAGTGCAGCTGCATTCACACAAAACTGTTTGTGATGGGTACCTGCCCATCCATCCAGTTCAACAAAAATTCTTATGTCTCTCTGATTGTCCACCCATACATCCATCTGTCCTAAAATTAGCCTTAACTGCCAGTCCCTTCCATCCATCCCCCTGTCCATCCACCTATCCAGTCTTTCTTTCACACCTTCTCCCCTTGCTATCTCTCATTTCTCTGGTGAATGAAAAGCTGGACATGAGCTAGCAATGTGTGCTGGCAGTTCAGAAAGCCAGCTGCATCCTGGGCTACATCAAAAGAGATGTGGCCATCAGGTCGAGGGAGGGGACTGTCCCCTTCTGCTCTCCCCTCATGAGACCCCACCTGGAGCACTGTGTACAAGCACAAGAAGTCATGGACCTCTTGAAGAGGGTCCAGAGGAGGTAATGAAGATACTCAGAGTGCTGGAGTACCTCTGCTCTGGAGACAGGCTGAGAGAGCTGGGGACTTTTAGCCTGGAGAAGAGAAGGCACTTGGAAGACCTTGCTGTGGCCTTTCAGTATTTAAAGGGAGCTTAGAAAAACAATGATGTGCAACTTTTACATGGGCAGATACTGGTAGGACAAGGGAGAATGATTTTAATGTAGAAGAGGGGAGATTATATTAGATATTAGGAGGAAATTCTTTACCCAGAGGGTGGTGAGGCCCCGGCACAGGTTGCCCAGAGAAGCTGTGGATGCCCCATCCCTGGAAATGTTCAAGGCTAGGTTGGAGGGGGCTTGGAGCAACCTGGTCTGGTGGAAGGTTTCTCTGCCCATTGCAGGGCGCTTGAACAATCTTAAACCATTGAGAATTCTGTGATTCTTCAAGATTCTCCCATGGTGGGGATGTGCTGCTGAACTCTGCATTGCAGAGACACTCCTGGTGACATACCAGTGCTAATGAACAGGCATATCTGAATCTCTGGGTTTTCTCTGGCTGTGCACAGTGAGTTGAGGCTTCTCCCTATGTGTGTAGGAATGGGCAAATGACAAGGGATCATCAAATAGGGGCTGCCTGGTGTGGATCTCTCCTCTTACATAAGACCTTCCTTCTCTGCAGGTCTCCGGAAATGTGGCATCAAAGCTTTGGACTTCTAGGAAAATCCTACACCCATGACAGTGAGCTGGGGATCAGACAGGGATGTCTGGGGGATGTGGGGTGCTCCCAAAGTGGAACAAAGAAAGGAGGAGGTTGGGCAACCTTAGAGGGAAATAGCTGGACTGGATCTTCCCAGAGTGAAACTAGGATGGGAACAATCAAGAGCATTTCCACAGGAAATGGATGGGAAACAGAGACCTGGAGGAAAAGGGAACCTGAGAGGATGTGAGGCAAACACTGTTCTATGCCAGGCTCACACTATACCCTTGCTAACATTGGTCACCTGGTCTTGGTTTCCAGGGTGGGAGCAGCCAAATATTTGAAACAGTCCCAAGCACCTCTTTGTGTCCTTCATGTGTGCCTGATGGAAAGTTTGCATGTCTCTGTACAGCAACAGGATCCTTTTTGCTGGGGAAGTGGCTCTACATGCCCCTCTGCTCAGTACCTCTGTGTAGTGCTGTGGTAGATGTTGCTATCCAGGATTATGTGGCTGACGTGGCCTCAGAACTCACGTACCAGAACAAGAGTCCCATCTCCACAGAAGTCCTCTTTGTCTTCCCCCTGGGCCCACAAATGTCCATATACTCCTTCCAGGCCTGCAGTGAGGATGCCAAGGTCCAGGTCATGCTGCAGGATGAGGTACCAGCATCCAGGGATGAATGGGCAAACCACCACAGGGGTGTGGGAGGAGCAACCCATGGTCTGCCTGGTGATCAGCTTTCTGTCCTTCCCCTTCCCACCCAGGCCCAGCAGCTTCATGAGGCTACAGGGAGCTGGGAGAATCTGGAATACCTTCAGGATCAGTCTAGGTATCCAGGCAAGGTGTTTGCCTGCTTCCTGGGCACACTGTCCCCTGGCAGGGAGCTGGTCGTGACACTACGCTATGTCCAGGAGCTGTCACAGGAGCCAGACGGAGCAGCCCGGTTTGTGCTGCCGCACACACTGCACCCCTACACACAACTCTACGGTGAGTGATCCTACAAGGAACCTGCCACCTCAGTCACACACCACATGAAAGGGCCACAGGGTCCCCATGTATTTATGAACAGACCGGATGCAACTTCACTTTACATCTGTAGAGGACCCACATTTTCCCCACGTGCAGCCTCCAGACAGATCCACATAACTTTCCTTGTACCCCAGGAGGGGATCCATACCTCCCACACACATTTCCCATAAACAGACTCATGGACCCCTCTAAGTACCTCATTGATAACCCCCAATTCTCTCCATATGACATATATATGGATGCCAAATGCTGTCCACCTGCTCACTCCTGCAGGGACAGCCTGGGCCCTACCTAGTACCATGTTTCTCCTTGCAGCCTGGAACTGTCACAGTAGCCACCTTCCCTACAGCCTGCTGCTCACTGCTAGCCTGCAGTCACCCCGTGGAGTAGCCAATGTCCAGGCCAACTGCTCCCTCACCCCTTTGATCTACACTGCCCAGGACCACAGCACTGCACAGGTTTGCTCTCCTGAGTATAAGGATCCCAGGAGTAGCTGGGGATGTATGTCAACACTGAGAAACAAGGGATGTGATGAGAAACTGGGATCAGTGCCTGTGCTCCTGGTCCAAAGTTGGGTCTGGTCCCTCCTGTGTATGACCACACATGTTCTTCAGGTCTCACTGGCTGGCAGCCCCCCAGGACAACATGATTTGGAGCTGCTGGTGTATTTTGGAAATCCCAGTGCAGTCAGTGCTGTGGTGGAGAAGGGAAACCCTGAGGCCCCTCCAGGTGAGTGCAGGTGGAGAGGGAATATAAGGGCAGCTCTGGCAGAAGGCATAGGGACACAGCGAGACATGGGATTCTGGGGATAAGAAATCATTGGACACTGGTTTGGGAATGGAAGGCAATTCACATGGAATCATTCGGGTCCTGGGTTGTCAGTGTGGAATTCTGGAGAAACTGTGGTGAGGTATCAGATACAGCAAGATGTGTGCAGGAAGTTTTATGTTAGAGCTCACTGGTCAGCTCTGTTGGAGACACTGAGTTGAAACATATGGGCTGTGCTATTTGTGGACAGTGCAGCAGTGTATTGAGGTACCAGTATGGGGCATCACAGCCTCTGGGATGGGGGAAGCTGAAAACACAATGAGCGTCAGAACCAGGATGAAGAGGAGGGTCCCCATATGGCTTTTATCTCATTCCCATCTCCTCCAGGCTCCCTGCTTGGTGATCCCATGGTGTTGGTGACACTGGCACCCAGCATCCCTGAGCCAGTGCCTGGGCAACGCCAGTCTGGAGAGTTCATCTTCCTCCTGGACACCACTTTTCTTGAGCATGCCCAGGTACCCTTGCAGAGCAGGGACCAGGGTGGAGGAGCAGGTTGACAGCCAGAGCAGGCATTTAGAGAGGGACAGAGATGTGAGTAGGGGCTGGTGGGACCTGAAATGGTCCTGAAGTTTCTTGCGTGCCCAGGGGAGTTCAGGACACTGTCTTGGGTCCTCCAGGGGAGTCCAGAGACTTTAGGAGGATGAGTCTACGGTCAAAGGTATCCATACCCCCCACAAGTGCCTCCCAAGACCTGCCTACTGTGTCTTTCCACAGGACTCCCTGCTCTTCCTCCTCAAAAGCCTGCCTCTGGGCTGCTACTTCAACATCTACTGCTATGAAGCAGCGTCTGTGGGCATCTACCCGTGAGCAAACATGGGGCAGACCGGGTGCTGTGGGGCTGGAAAGGGTCCCTGTGGGTATGGCTGGATACTGTGGGGCATGGTTGGGTGCTGTGGCACTGAAATGGGCACTATGGGGCAGAGTTAGATGCTGGAGGGCAGGTGTACATGCTCTGAAATTGGCTAGTGGGTATGGGCTGGAGGGCATGACTGACTACTTGTAGGGCAAGGCTGGATTCTGGGATGGGATCTTGGCTTTATGGAATAGAACCTCTTGGGGTTCTGCTGAGCAGTCCTGTAGGAATTATGAAACAAGGTTTCTTTAAGAACTAGTGTGGGGTAGGGACTTGCAGAGGAACCTGGGGCATAGCTGTGGGAAGTGCTGCAGGACAGAGTCTCAGGGAGAACTAGGGAGGGCACGGAGCTCCAAACACGCTGTGCTTCCTGCAGGCAAAGTGTTGAATATACTCAGGACAACCTGACCAATGCCCTGTGGCGCATTCCTTCCACCGGCTCCAGTCTGGGTGACACCAACCTGCTTGAAACCCTCCGCTCAGTCTACAGTACCCCCCGCCCCCGCGGGCATGCATGCCAGGTCTGGGTCAGGAGCATGGAGGGGTGGAGGGGCAGGTGTCCTGGGGAGAGAGAGGACACCGTAGTGTGGGGGAAAGGACCCACCAGAAATATACTGGTGTATGTCAGGGAATGGAGAAGTGGGTCTATAATTTTGGGTGTTTCTGTCCCTCAGTGAATAGCTCTCCCTGGGGTAGTTTTTGTACAGGGCATCTCTCTCCTTGGCCCCTCTCTCTCCAGTTTAAGGGCTTGCTTTCTCCATTTTGGGGTCCCTGTGGAGGACCCCACTACTCATGTTCCCTGTCTCTCAGCTCTTCATCTTCATGACTGGGCTACCCTCTGACAAAGAAGCCATCGCAGCTGAGGTCTGTCATCATCGCAACAGCCACCGGTAATGGGGATTCTCTGTCCTGAGTCCTCCAGTTCCCCTTTGGTTATCCAGTCATTTCCATCCCCAGTGAGGGTCCCTGTGCATCAGTGCCTGTTCCAATCCTTGGGCTCCTTCAGTGTCCCAAAGACCCTTGTCAGTCAACTCAGCTCTCCAGTGCCAAGACCCCATGAGGGAGTCTTTTCTTACTACTCTCACAACCAAGGCATTCTTCCCAGAGTGAGCAGGGAGACTGAGGCACAGGGCTTGTCAACCCCAATGTGCCCCCAAGCTCTGCTCCAGCCCCATGAGATTGATTCCAGTTCTACGCCAAACCTCAGCTCTCCTCTGCCAGCTCCCTGTCTAACCTCAGCTCCAACCCACTCCCTCACTCCCTGCTCTTCTTCCTGTTCCTTTGTTCCACACCCTAGCTTTCTTCCCCCAGCTTTAACTCCAGCCTGTGTATCCCAGCATACTTGCACCCACCTCTGGCTCTCACTTCTGACATCTTTCCCTACTTTCTCATAGGTGCTTCTCCTTCTACTTCTCTGAGGACAGCGCTGCCCTGGCTATAGCCCTGGCCAGGGAGACAGGGGGTGAAGTTACCTATGTCTCCTCCAACAACAGTATGACAGCTGTGGTAGGAACCCAAGAGCCCTAGCAGGTTCCCCTCTATTCCATAGACATGCTGACTTCCAATCACCCCAGCACATGAACTACCCACACACAACAATTGAGACCCAGCTGCCCTGGGAACCCGGGCACACAGTCTGCCCCTGACTGTAGCCCATGGACAACCTGGGGGTCTGGGCTTCTGCACCACTATAACCAACAGATCTGGCTGTGTCCAGCAAATCCAAGTGGTGCAGGCTACTCCACACATTCTACTGTCCCCCACGGAACCCTGACACTGGGATCCAAGTTGCTGCAAACTATGGTGTTCTGCCCTCTGTCCCCAGGTGTTGCAGTGCCTGAAGAGAGCCCTCAAGCCAGCAGCTGAAGTAGTCTCTCTGAGCTGGACCCTGCCACGTGGTCTGGAGGTTGAAGTGCTGGGGGGTACTCCTCAGTCTATCTTTCAGGGTCAACACAGTCTTCTCTATGCCCAGATCCATGGACAGGCACAGGTGAGAGCTGGGACCACAGTCACCCTCAGCTATCTCCCAGTAACCTCCCAGTAACCACCAGTAATCTTTCAGTAATTTCCCAATATCCCCTAGTAACCATCTTGTGTCCCCAGTAACCTCCAGTAGCTTCCCATGTGTTTCCAGGATACAACAGTGGCCAAGGGGGTCATGACTTTGCAGTGCAGCCTGGAGGGCCAGGATGTCACTCACACGATTGAATTCCCACTGTGCTCACAGGGAGATGGACGGTGAGAACCTATCCTCAGGGAAGATGCATTCCCCTCATTTCTAATGTGGACTCCAACCGAGAGGGGGCACAGATAACTTGTGCATTTCCACCTTCCACACACCATCCCAAACCTTCAGAGAACCCAGGTGTCCAAGCATGCCCTCCTTCCCTTTGACCCCACAGGGATAGGACCCAGGCACCTGGGCACCACTTCCCTCCAGACAGACAAGGACCGAGGCATCCAGGTTTTCCCTCTGTCCATCCTCAGCCCTGAGGAGACGGAACCCAAGTGTCCAAGCTCTCTCTCTTTCCTCAGTACAGAGATGATTCAGGTGCTCAGGCTTCACCCCACTCTGTTCCCAGGCTGGCTGGGCATCGTCTGGCTGTGAGGTCCTTACTGCAGAGATTGTTTCTTGAGGCTGCGAGTGGGTCAGGGGATGAACCCAGGCATCGTGCGGTGGAGATCAGCCTCGCTTCAGGGATCATCTGCCCCTTTACCAGCTATGTGGGCATTCGTACATCACAGAGGGTAACCTGGTACCGAGGTAAGGAAAGTCACCAGCAGAAAAGAGTTGGTGGGGCAGCTCCATGGGATGTCCTCATTCCACTGGAGCTGGAACCTCAGCCACAGGGCATTCCCAGGTTCCTGGGGCAGGGCCCATCACCACCAGGTGCTTCTTTCCCATGTGATTAATTCAGTCCCTTTTCCTCTTTACCCCCAAAGGGCCTCTGGCACTGTTGGCACCCTGCCAGTCACACATCCCCTGCCAGCTTGTTGAGCTTCCTGGCTCGTGTAAGGACTCTTCCTGCTATCCGGTGACCATCTGGGTCCCACCTGGCTGGCTGACAGCAGTGCGTGAGTCATGGTGTGCCCTCCGTCGGCTCACCTGTGGCATTGCTGCCCTGCCCAACCGGGGGGCTTGCTCAAAAGGTATGGGGCCTTGACCCAGATGGGAGATGTAGGGATAATCCACTGTCTTACAGGAGGGTTATGGTGCCATGTCTTGTTCATGGTGTGGAAACCGATGAGTTTTGCCTTTAATCTTCCCTTAGTTACCCTCGTATCTGAATGTCCTTCAGTAAATACGAGGCCCAGCTCAGGGACAACCAGGGAGGGGGCAGGGATGGTGCTGAACCATACACACGTTTGAACAAAATGTGTTGGGGTGTATCAAAAGAGGTAGGTATTGGGACATAGCTGGGCAGGAATGCAAGAAGAGGCAGTGGTCAAGGTTGGGGATGACTTAAGGGTGTCCAGAAGGGGCTATGGATTGGACTGCTTTGGAGACATGTAGGGGGGACTTTGGGCAGCAGGAAGCCGCCCAAAGGAGAGCAGAGATAATGCCCCGGGGCATTGCACAGGGGAGTAGAGTGGGGTCAGCTTCCTGTGATTTTCCCAATACTCCTGTTCACATCTTCTCCCACAGCACATAAACCACTACCACCGTCTATTTCTTCTCTCAAGTATGTGGATCCTACAGCATACGTGTTGCGCTCTCCAATTTTTGGGCCGTGGTCCACTGAAGCCTTTGCTGAGTGCCAGAAGCTGGTAGCACTGCAGAGTGAAGATGGCTCCTGGGCCCTCAGCTCAGGATTGGCCTCTGTGCTGGAGGTCGATGAAGCTGAAATCAAGAGAAAGATGCCTGGTGAGGTAATGGAGGAACTTCTTATGGTGACAGTGGGACAGTGGGGCAGTGGAAAAACCTTGGCTAGTGGCAACACTGGCATCCCAAGGGATGAATGAAGGGATCAGAAACCATAAGCTACAATGGATGAGGGGAAGCAGTGAGGGGACAGGCGAGATATTGGCAGTGCATGGCAGTCCATTGTTTTCCTACAGGTCATGGAACCAAGCATTTGGGCCACAGTGCTGGCTGTGACCTGGCTGCACAGACCCGACAAATGTTACCAAGACTACTGTGAACTTCTGGAGGCCAAGGCCGTGACCTGGCTGTGCAGCCGAACTGGTGAGTCTTGACCATCCTTTTCCTGCTGATTCCCTTCTCTGTCCGGTGGGATGTGCCTCATTCCTTCGCAGGGCCGTGATTTCCTGCAGGCACGTGAAGAAGTCCTGTGTCCCCTTGCTCCTTCTATCTGTGGACTCTTCCCCCCTGCCTGAGACATCTAAAGCCTCTGTCTCTCCCTGATTGCAGTGTCTCAGCTGGACAAGTGTCTGGAGGCAGCCAACAACCTCCTTGGGAGCAGTGCAAAGCCAAATATCTTCAGGCTCTGAGTTCACATATGCCTTGATACAGACCAACAGCACCTGCAGAAAGTATAACCCAAATTCACACACTGTGCTGGGATACCACTTTTGCTACCAGCTGGGGGTCTTACATTGTAGATTAATTCTCGCTGTTTATATATTATACTATTTAGGCTGAACCTGTACCATGCTGAGCTCCTCAAGAGAAAAACTCCAATTCAGCCCCTCCAAGTGTTTAGTCTCAGTGGAGGTGGCAGTGGGAAGGAAGCCCTGTCCTTCCTGAATTAGACTTTGGCAAATACCTACTGGGTCCCACAAAGGTGGTGCTTAGGGACATGGTTGGACCTAGTTGTGGACTTAGAAGTGCTGGTTTAACAGTTGGACTCAATGATCTTTTCCAAACTAAATTATTTTATGATTATGGTTTCTGTTTGACAAGAGAGTGCTTTGCACACTAGAAAAGATCAGTGTTTAGTGGTATCAACAGCATGTACCATTGCAGAGGCTCACAATGAAGGACTCCTGCTGCATGTCAGTTGCCGACCTCTTTGCTTTCCCCCAAAAGTCCAGGTTGTGTCAGAAACTCCCATATCTTTCCTTCACCATGTAAACCAATCATTTTGGAAGTAAAACTCTCATCTTCATCAGACTCAGCCCATCATAAGGCTTAAAAGAGCTCAAGTGACATGAGACTGATTTGAAAACTATCAGTATGTTGGAGGTGGAACTTCAGGAGCTTTTGATTAACAAACCAGTCATGCAATTTACTCCCTCTGCCTCTGGGTCCTGAATTCATGGGTGTCACTCCATGTTAGCAAAGTCTCTGCTTCACTTCCCAATAAACAGTGAATCTTCTGTAAGCCAAAAGGTGTGACATAGCCTTTGTTTCTCTTGGGCCTATGATCCTTCCTTCCAGGGACCATCTATGATCCGCCAGGAGGGACAGGAAAGGACGTCCCCATAGCTGTGTATTGTAATACACAAAATAAGGTGCTGCCATTGGTCTTGGAAGAGCACAGAGTTCTAGGTTAGCAGGACAGCAGCTGAGGGCTTGTCAGACTTTTTCTAGACATCTTTTATCTTGAATTTATTTCAGCTAGTGGCAATAGCAACACTTTGCCCACCAGATACATGACTGATGCCTAATTTATTCTAGCTGTAGCAGAAATGTTTTCAGGTGATTAATGTCAAACTTGGTTTTAGCTTTAACTTTTTAATTCCATTAGAGTTTACATCTCTGAAACTAAATGCTCTTCTCCCTTGAATATTCACCTCTGCTGTCTGGAACAGGCACAGCAAAAATGTCTCTGCACTCAAACCCACCTCTTCCCTTGGAAGTCCATGGGGAGACATAGGAATCACCTTTCTCAGAGAGACAAATGACATAGGGAATGTGCCCTCCTACACTCCTTGGGGTGTAGAAGGAGGAAAGAAGGGCACTGAGGACCTCACATTTTGGAGAGGTGAATCATGACTGTGATGAAATACCCATAGCTCAGCTTACTTCAGTCACCAACAAATGTATTGTTTATCCAGGAAGAGGTTTTGGGTTCTTCCCTCCAATAGGCTCCCAAGGGTGATTCATCTGATGGAACTTAATTAGTCTACATGGCCTGGAGAAATACCAGGCTCTGCTTTCTCCCTGTTGACCATTGGAAAGGCTGAAAGGGCAGCCCCAGTGACCCACAGGTGCCTAATTCTGAAATTATTAACCCCATTAGAGTCTTCTGCAAGATTGGAGCTGAGTGCTCTTCTCAGATCCTCACCAGGTTCTGCTGCAGCAGCTTAGAAAAGCCAGTGCTTGCTGCCTATGAGAAATAAATAATCTGGTTTTATTATAAGCAAATTGATTTTAGTAAAAAGCAGGGGGTGGTGAGATTTATTTCCTCTCTTTCATTTAATTCCAGGAGTTTTAGGTGCCTTGTGGAGACTGTAAGGTGAAAGGCCCCATCTGGGTCTGACACCAAGGAAACGTCGTGGCCGGGGTAGGGAAAAAATATATAAAAATGGAAAATATACCCTGGCCACGTGGCTGGCCTTTGAGTGCAGAGAGACCCCTCTGTACCTAGGAGTACGTCATCAATCAATCAGGAGGGAGGGTAACACTCCCTCCTGAGTTCGAAAAATTACCTTTTAAGGTAAAATACCTTACACCTGCTGAATATTTAGCAGCTAATGTAACCAAAAGGGTATGAAAGGGTGCGTTTTTCAAACGGCAGTGTGCTCGGACCAGGTCACAAGTTCATGCACCCAGTGTGCTGTTAACAAAGCTCTTTGTTTCACTGTATTTGGCCATCTTCTAAATTTTAATTAGAGATATTTCTCACACTGCCCCACCTCAGTTTCTCTTTCTTAGAGCAGACTGAAATGCTTTGGAGGTTTGGGGAAGGACAACCATTGCCCAAGATGTAGAAACAGTTTGCGTCAGCTCATAACTTCCACCCTCCACAGAGATACACTTGTGCAGTGCTCCCTCCCTGAAATCCTAAGGGAAAGACACTCCATGACACTGATTACATCCATAACAGTAGGAAATGGCACCCAGGTGCTTCAGGCCCGGAGCTCAATCTGTGGAAGGAAAAGTGAAAGAGCTAAACTTTTTATTGGCCTTCCTGTGAGAGAAGGGTTTTCAGACTGAATAGGGAGGGAAGTGACATGGGGCAGAACAGGTGACAGCAAGGCCTGAGTCTTCATTTCCAGGCACTACCACAGGAAAGGTCTTCACATTCTTCATTCACAGTGTTGAATGAGGGAATCTCTCCTAATTGCACTTGTCATCAGTGTCTCCAGACTAAGTTCATCCTGGCCTGGGAGAAAGGTGTATTAAACTTTGGGACCATCACCTTTTTGAGCAAATTATTCAACCCAAGACTTTTATGGACCACCTGAATGCTTTCCTTTAGCATCTCGAGAAAATTAGCTTTTGTGCTTATCCACAACTTTTATAGTTCTACACCTTTTTGCTTTTTCCTAGCGCATTTTCTCATACCAACATCTTCTTGCTAGCAAGGTAAGACGCTAATGTTAGGTGAGGCCGGGACTAACGACTGCTTCATTGAAACGCTAAATAACCTGGACACACTAGGTAAATTTCATAAGGGAAACCCCATCTCCTTGTAACTACAGCTGGGGGAAGGGAGGGCTCAGGTTTGTTTTGGTTATTTTTTTTTCTTTTTTTTCCTCTCTTTCCCTCGGCGGCTGGGATTTTGCTTTTGGCTGGACTCGGGAGCGATGTGGGGAAGGGCGCTCCGAGTTCATCTTTTTGGTCAGATCAATGGCTTCTTCAAGCCCCGAGGAAGGTCCCAGTTTCCCCTCCGACCCCTCGTGACCTGCTCTGCCCACGGCCCACGGAACGCCTGTTCCCGGGTGAGAGCCCTGCGGTGCTTGCGGTGGGGCGTCACACGCGACCGCTGCTGTCACAAAGACTGCCAGTACCTTGTGGGGGGTTTCCCTTTCTTCGAGGAGGGAGGTGTCTCCCTGTTCATAGCTGGATGGACTGGCACCCCTGTCCCTTGCC